ACATGAAATTCAAGCTGGAACAGAGCGAAATAACGCTGAACTTGTTCATCAGCAGACTGCTTCACTTCACAATTATTCTGGTGCTTTATTGCTTTCATTTCTACCTCTCACGGCTCTACTGAGCAGAATCCGTTCGAAGTTTGATGATAAATCATATGATAAATTATACTTGAAGTACTTATGAGAAACGAGAATTTGAGGAAAATGATTCGTAGAGTAAAACAGAGAATTGGCAATTTTCAAGTTCGAACGATTACATAACTGACATGTTTTCTTTTTTGGAATATTGACTGGTGCTGAGCCGCAACATTGATAACGTTGGTTGGCTATGGACCATTGACATGAATAGCCGGATGGACACGGAGAATTCTTGTGGTTGAACGGATCGCATGAAGCGATCTCACCACCCTTCATGAACGCGTACTCGTTTGGTGGACATCCATCTGAATGCATTTTGAAAAACACGTTGAATTCATCGGAGATCAGTTGTTGGTGAAAAGAAAGCAATGATAGAAATGAATTTCGTTTGTTCGCTGAAGTGGCTTATATCAGGACTGTCGTTAGACTGCTCGAATTCGCTCACGTTTCGAATGCATAATCGCAACGCTTTTACGCGTTAATAAGAAAGATTTGAATTTCATTGAACAGTCAAAATTTCATTTGTAATTCATGAAATGATTCGTTCTGATGTCAGCTGATTCAAAACACTTAGAAAAGGATCGATTTCGCGAACCTGAGACTGCTGCATGCCCTCCTTTACAGCAGTGACCAGTTGTGAAATCATAGTGTGCACTTTGACAAGTGTAACCACTCGGACACGTGATGAAGCCACCGAGTGTGCATGAGCGTGGCATTTGAGAACTTTCTTCGACGTAATATTCAGCTTTGTTAGGACACAAATAATGCGATGAGCAGCAATATCCCTGAACGGTCCTTATTTTTGGTACGCTGTGCATCAAGCAACGTTAGGGAAACGTTGCCGGGGAAGAATAAACGTTAAGCTAACGAAAGTGCAATTACTCGAGAAGTGCTATGATACGTGATTTATGAGTGTTGCTGGTGTTCTGCTTCGAAGCAAACCACTAGCGGTAAATTGATAATTGTTGTTGAATTCTGCTTGCTCACAATCAGACACATCGTAATTAGCGTTTGATGGGAAACATTGAAATTTGTCACATTTCATGGAATTTTCTGGCAATAGTGTTTACCTGGAATGCACCGTCAACCTCAGATTGACAACTGTATCCAGAGGGACATTGATTGTTACCGCTATCAATTGTGCATCTGATTGGACTTTTTGATGATGGATCTCGATAGAGCGATTTGCCATTGGGACACAAATCTGCAATTATATCATTCGAAATCAGACTCTTGAAATTGCTGAATGAACGAAATTTTGAAAAATTCCATTGATGAAACGACTGAATTGAAACGTTCGATAGTTCGATCACCTCCACTCACTGCTGCACAACAATAGTAACGATTCTTGTGAGAGTTGAATCTGCACAAATAATTCGACGGACACGAACTCTCCATATTGATCAAGCATTCACGCACGTTCATGTCGACTGCATTCACGTAAGCCTTCTCACCCGCAGGGCAAACCTCTGAAAATATCGTATTCGTATCGGTGCTCTTGAAAGAGTTTCTTGTTCAGTGCAATCCCGACGCTCGACACTCAATAGCATCGAACTATAAGAGACGATTTAACAATTTGTTGAAAGTCACTGAAAAAACTTTGTTGTGCTAATCTTGCAAAACAGTTTAATCATTTCATCTTTAGAGAGTGCGTAAATCAGCGCATTTATCGATGCAGCCAACAATCCTACTGAACCTGAGCTGAGTTTGTGGATGTGAATAACTACCAAACTCACCCATATCTGTGGACCCACAGCACACGCTACTTCCAGATAATTGATCGAATGTACAAACAAAATTATTTGGACAATTATTCCGCAGCGTTGCATCACATTCGAATGGCATTCGAGTGTTCGGATTCACGTACGCCACATCGCCTGGCTTACACGCGGACGATAAACAAAAGTTGTTGCATTGTTCTGCAGTTGCGAAATTATTCAGATTGCCGCTACAACCATTGTACGTAAACTGAGTGCATTCCTTGGTGACGATGTTGAAATAGTAGCGTGACGCTGCTGATGCACTGCATGAGTTACCTTGTTGTGGAGGCAGCGAACAGATGAAGGCTGAAATTTTATTTGAAAATATTCGATGAATTCCAACTGAAATCATTTTATGAGTTTATCTCGCGTTGCGAGTGAAATGATCGTTTGCCGTTTATTGAAATGAAGTTCATTCAACTGACCTCTCGTAGGACAACATCTATTGACCACACTACTACCCGAGTTCACTGACGTACACTCNGTATCAGTAGCAATCGAAAGATTCAGTGAGGAGGTGCATAAATTGAAAATTTCAAAAAAGTTTTCGAACCTGTTGTATGTCTAAAATGGTAACTTGGGAAATGAATGAATGTGAAAATTTTCCAAGCAGCAAAATTTCTACAGAAAAATTTCCAAGAATGTATGATTTTTACATTCAGTGTAAAAATTCTCTTTCAAGAGAGCGAAATGAAGAAATTCTGCAAATAGTAAAGTCGAAATGCCTTGAAAAGGCAGGTTGCAGCATTTTTTGGTTGACTTGGTCACACTTGGTGCGATTATGAGTCTTCTATTAAAGCCATTGATTGATTCAATGATTTCATAGATTCTGAAATTGTATGGAAAAATGTGTAAACTATACCGTTGTATTGAGCACTTTCGCATTCTTGTGTTTGTGAATTGTAATAGTATCGATACGATGAACCCGAGCCGCATGTGACACCTTTATTGAATGACAACGTACATGTGTAAGCTTTTGTTGGGCAACAACCCCAAACGTAGCCGTCAAAGTAGCATTCGTAGTTGGCTGGGCATGAGTTACCAGTCCCAGAATTCGAGCACACAAAGTAATTGCCCTGATGGTCTTTGAAAGCATCTCCCTGCGGACATTGTGGTTCAGCTGAAACAATGCGGTTCGATTATTTCAACGCAAGGCAGGCAATAAACTGTCTGAGAGATCATTCGATATGAATACAGTGGACTGACTCTACATATCCATTCTTGGGTTCGTATTACACAATGCTGATCAGTCATTCAATCCACAGAGGAAAGTTTTCATCGTTTACTGACACGATTCACGATTCACGATTCACCCAAAGAAATTTCTATCCATTTTGAATGGTCAATAAAGAAATGCAATGAGGTTGGATTATCAACTTACGAATGATGTTTTCGCACGCATTCTGGCATTCGAGTAGGCTCTCGAAGTTGTTATCATTACCCTGACAACCAGTATAATCGAAGATCTCACACGAACGAGTCAGTGCATTATACCAGTATCGTCGAACACTTTGTTTACAATCACCCAAACGTA